TCAAGACAAAAAAAAGTTTGACAAAATTCTAAATCATTAATCCTCGTTTGCTAAACTCGAAAAGAAGGAAATCTAAGAGCGGGGGAATAAAGATGAGATAAAAGACCCTAAATATTCATTACAAAAGTCATGGAAATAAGTGAAAGTAAAGAAATGTGAGAAATTTTCATTAAAAACAGAAAGAGAGAGAGAGAAGCTGCGTAGCAGTGACATTGATCTTGACGACATCGACCTTGAAACACTTTGAAGAGTGACACTATGGGGAATTTCGATTTAAATTCGCGCAATTGCGTGATATTTGCATAGTCACTCTAATCTCAACGTGACTTGCTTTCAAGATTCTTTAAATTTTCAATCTAAAATGTATTTTAAAGTCGTAAAAAAAAAAAAAATTCCCTATTTTACTCCTTCGTCTCATCATTATTTTCCATCACGTCCAAGATATTGAACAATTTCTCGAAATTCAACCTAAAAAATTTTATTATTACACTTCCGAGGTTAATATGAAGGTTTTTCTCGAACAAAACAATTCTTTCGCTTAAAGGGTCAAGAGCAAGAATTTTCTATAAACAGACAAATAATGGGATTGAGAAAAATAATGAGATACTTTTTCTAATTCCTCGCGATTTTTTTTTTTTGTAAAGAAAGATTATTTAATTATAATTGATAATTTATAGTAATTAATAATAATTTATAATAGTTTATAATAATTTATTATAATTTATTATTTATTATGAAAAATATTGAAAAGTAATTAATAGAAACAAATTTACATTTCTTCTTTAATTTTTTTTTCTTTAATAATAGAGCGCATCTTTTGCATCTTTTTTCCCCCTTTAATTCCAAAGGGCTTTTAGCTCCGTATATATTATTAAATAAATGTTCATTTTTTTGCCTTTTCTAGTTTTATGGAATATAAAAAGGAATTATCCCTGTACCTATATCATTTTATAAAAAAGATAACCTTCATTTTTCAGAATTTTTTTTTCCACTCTTTTTAAAATGAATTTCTTTCATATTTTTTCTTAAGAAATGAATATTTTTTCATACTTTTTGCAAAAAAAAAAAAAGAATTTTTCATTTTATGTGGAAAATGAATTTTTTTTCCTGTATAATAAAATATACAAAGAAAAATTGTTCTTTGTTATTTGTTTTTTAATTTTTCTAATTTTTATAGAATGTTTCTTTTTTCACCATTAAATTTCTTTTGGTAGTATAAATAATTTTTTTTTAATAATAAAATTATTTTTTCGGAATTTTAGAAAAATATTTTCACGTATAAAAAATATTTTGTTTTTAATACAATGAGATAGAGAAATATTCAACGAAATGATTTTGAAAACCATTTTCTACCAAATGACAGGAAGTTTTTTTTTTTTTTTCTTTTTTCTTGAATTATATAAAACTCGGTACAGTTGTACTATTCACTTTCTTCGAATAGTCGTCCCGACGACATGTGCATTATTCAACACTGTTAGAGAGACAAATTCAACATACAACCTTAAACATTTTCACTTCTTCGACGCGTTCTCTTTGTCTGACTAAAAGCAGTATTTACTACTGCGCCCCTTTTCTCTCCCCCCAACACTCCTCACCTAAAAAAACCTTATAAACTCTACTTTTCCATGTTGCTTCACTTTTTTACGCTCGACTTAAACATTTTTATTTTTCCAATTCCCCTTGGCCATACAAAGAATGTAACATTGCATTAAAAAAAAAAAAAAAATTTTTTTTTTTTAATTGCAATGAAATGTCGAGAGTAAAAAAATGTGTTTTGTTTTTTTTTCTTACGCACTTGCTAAAAAATGTTCAACAATTTCAATATACATAAAACGAGCAAGTTTTTTAAATGCTGTTATATTTTACACATTTTATTATTGGTTTAGGCTTTATTCTTTTTTTTTATTATTTGTTATTATTTATTATCATTTTTTATTGTTTATTATTTATTACTATTTTTATTATTTATTATTTTTTAATATTATATTTAAAATTATTTCTAATTTTTAAGTAATTATTATTACTTCTTATTTTTTTTTATTTTTTGGCATCCGTCAATCCGTCCATCGTACACTCGTATGGTTGCCATAGTAACCGATTCCATAGCAACCGTTGCCATAGTAACAGTTATCATAGCAACAGTTACCATAGCAACCGCTTCCATAGCAACCGTTTCCATAGCAACCGTTTCCATAGCAACCAATTCCATAGCAACCGTATGCATAGCAACCGTTTCCATTGCAACCGTAATCATAGCAACCGTATCCATAGCAACCGTTTCCATAGCAACCTTTTCCATAGCAACCTTTTCCATAGCAACCGTATCCATAGCAACCGTTTCCATAGCAACCGTTTCCATAGCAACCGTTTTCATAGCAACAGTTACTCTCATATTTTTTATTTTTAATAAGTTGACGAGACAAGCTTATTTATTATTATTTTATAATTGTTATTTTTTCTATTAAAGTGAAAACCAGTAATATTATTTTTTTTATTAACAAATTAAATTGTGCAATTGTGTTTTTTTTAAATAATTTTTTCGACTAAACGATATTTTTATTGAACCGAGAAAATTTCTCATAAATATTCATGTGAAAAATTTACTTTTTCTTTGAAAAAATTAAAAAGGTGTTGAAATAATTTTTTTCAATTTTCTAGTTAATGGCATTTTCTATCCATATTTCCTGAGCTTTGCATATCTTCTTCATACACATGTGTGTTTTTTTTTTATTAAATTTAATACATATTTTCACATATATAAATATGTGAGATGTGCGTGAAAAATGTTTTTTTTTTTTTTTTTAAATAAAGAAAATCAAATGGAAAGTAGAGTATTGGATATATCGTGACCTTTTTTTTTCTCTGGCTATTTTTCAAAGCTTCTCTTTAAGATTGTTTCGCCGATTGTGAGGCAAAATGGAAGTAACCTCATTTCTCTTATCCTTAACCCTGCATCTTCATTTGTAATCTGACCTTCAACCTTCTTCTGTCCCTTCGATATTTTTTCTCTCTCTTTCTACTTTAGGTTCAGTTTTCATATCTTCTTCTTTTTTTCTCTCTTTCTCTCTTCTTTTACATCGCAACTATATAACCACTGGCCCGCTTTTTCTGTTTCTTCTCCAGGGATGAATCCCTTTTGATAAGTGACCCAGATAAACTGAACAATTGGTGGTCATCAATTATACGAGAGACCCCCGGAGGAAAATTACTGTGACGATAGTTTTACGAGCTTTTTTAAAGTTCATAACCTCAATTTAAAAAGCTTGCTGAGAGAAATAATCTGATTTCTTATAGTGACGATCGGTTGATATAATAAAGTAGGAATCAGAAATAAAATGAAAAAAAAACACAAATCAAATGTTTTACCTTCTTTTTTTTTTTTTTTCTTTGATGATGATAATATCATTTATTCCAGTGCTTTGATCTCTTTTAATGGTCGACTTGATTTAAGATTCGACGAAGAGATTTTCTCTTTCTCTCTCTCTCTCTCTCATTCAGGAAGAAGTAGTTTATTGGATGATTAAATCAAATTCTCGAAGGTGATTCTTTGTAATAATATATATATATATAAAACTTGATTGAATATGTCTCTCATGTAAATCTCGATATTCTCAAGTTCTCTTTAGTTTCTGCTTGACATAGTTTTTTCGGAGATATAATTTTTCCAAAGCCCCGGTATATTGATTTTATCAAGAATATCAAAAGCAAAGCGAATTTTTCATATTATATAGATTATTTTTACGTCATATACGAGGAGAGATAAAAAAAAATATACAAATATCGGATTTTTCATTAATTTTTTTTTCATCTTATTTTCATTTAGAAAATATGTAATAACATTATTATGTTTTATTAATATTTTATTAATAACATTATTAGCATTTTTCATTATTACAAAAACAATATTTGTTACAGTAAAAAATTGAAAAATTAAATTCATTTTACAAATTTTATATTGTAAATTATAAGTTTTTAATTTATAAAAAAGTTAATTATAGTTATTTAGTTATTTAATTTACAGTAAAAAAATTAATTTCATTTACATAATCAGTTACTTGTATATTATAAAATAAATATTTATTTATAACAAATAATTTTCATTTGAATCAGATCAATTGTATGTAAGCCTATTTCTTTATTTAATACAAATAAAATTTGATACAGACACAGAAAATTAAAAGGCATTAAAATAAGCGTTGCAGATTATTTTAATACCTTATAATTTTCTGTGGAAATTATTTAGTTAGAGAAAATATTTATTTAATAATATCCAAGTAAACCGATTATTTGAATGAAATAATTTTTTTTAGTGTTAAAACCTACACCCAAAGACACATTTGTCTCAAAGCCAAATAAATCTTATTTAAATAAATTAAATAAAAATTTTATATAAAATTAACGACATAGGAATCTACCTTACCGACTGATGGTAAGACAGATTTTTGAAAAATGATAATATAAAAATTTACCGACATAGAAATTTACCTTACCGACTGATGGTAAAACAGTTTTAAAAATGGATAAAGTTAAACAATTTATTTACCATTAGTCGGTAAGGTAGATTCCTATGTCGGTAATTTTTTATATTTTCATTTTTCAAATATCTGTTTTACCTTCAGTCGGTAAGGTAGATTCCTATGTCGGTAATTTTTTTATATTTTCATTTTCCAAATATCTGTTTTACCATCAGTTGGTAAGGTAGATTTCTGTGTCGGTATTTTTAATATTTTCAATTTTCAAAAAGTTTTAACTTAATGTGAAATAACCCTAATAATTACGTAGCGCTCGCAAAAGAAATTCAATGTTACAATCGCGCATTACAAAGTAAAATCACAATTCCGATTTGTGTATTTCCCAAAATTAGCTGTTTTGTGGAAACTGCAACTGCAGTTAGTAGATAACACAAATATATTTTTATTATGCCAATATTTTTCTTGGTGTACTAAAAGATAATATTAATACTAAAAAAAATCTAATGAAAATCAAATTTTTTGTTTCAGATGAACAACTCCGTGGGGAGTAAAAAAAACACACACACCTCGTCAGTATTCATCAATTTCGCGAATCATGAAATCGTTAATCGACAGCCAAATGATTATCAATTCATCAGTGACTTAAATTTTGGATTTCAAATTGAGATTTAAAAAAAAAAAAAAAAAAAAAACATTGAAATCGAAAGAGAGAATGTCAAGTAGTTCAGAGTCGTCCGATGTCTCTGCAACGAGCATGACATTATCAGAAATGTTGACAGATAATCCACGTGATAATAGCACAAATGACACACTATCATCGCTTGATGAACCAGATTTGCCAATAGCAATTTTAAAAGGATGCATTCTTGGTTCAATAATTCTCTCGGCTGTTTTTGGCAATCTTCTCGTAATGGTGTCCGTAATGAGACATCGAAAATTACGTATTATAACAAATTATTTTGTTGTTTCATTGGCTGCAGCCGATATGCTCGTTGCAATGTTTGCAATGACATTTAATGCCAGTGTACAAGTGACTGGTCACTGGTTATTTGGCTATTTTATGTGTGACGTTTGGAATTCATTGGACGTTTATTTTAGTACAAGTTCAATTCTTCATTTAATGTGCATCTCAGTCGATCGTTATTATGCTATTGTAAAACCTCTTAAATATCCAATAAATATGACAAAAAAAGTTGTATGGTATATGCTATTTGCATGTTGGCTATCACCAGCTGTTATATCATTTGTGCCAATTTTCAACGAATGGTATACAACATCAAAAAATAGCGCCTATCGTCATGAACATCCTGATGTTTGTGAATTTATTGTCAATAAAGGCTATGCAATACTTTCATCGAGCATATCATTTTGGATACCATGTACAATAATGACATTGACATATTTTGCAATATTTAAAGAGGCAAATAAACAAGAAAAACAAATGCACAGTCGTTTAGGTACGGCAATGTTGCTAAGTCATCGGCCAAGTAAAGATATGAATAATATTAATGGTGAATTAAATAGTGGTGGTTCGTCAAAAACATTAACGCTCAACGAAATTAGCACAGATCATCTTCATACACCTACTAAGGATAAAAATATTATGAAAATGAAAAGGGAGCACAAAGCTGCAAGAACATTGGGTATTATTATGGGAACATTTATATTATGTTGGCTACCATTTTTCTTATGGTATTTAAGTACAAGTTTGTGTGGTGAAGATTGTGAAACGCCTGATGTTGTTATTGCATTATTATTTTGGATTGGTTACACGAACTCTGCCCTAAATCCATTGATTTATGCATATTTCAATCGTGATTTTCGGGAGGCCTTTCGAAATACATTGCAATGCGCTTTTTGTTCATTATGCCGTAATGAACCTTCCGATTTGGATGCTCTTGATTTTCGACGTCCCTCGCTAAGGTACGATTTGGTCTGACAAACGCTCACATAGGTATGCATGATTTTATTTTTTATGTTTGCACGCTTTTGTTTTTTTTTTTATTAACTAAAAAGGAAGAATCTTATTTTAAGGGTGGAAAGGTGTCTTCCCAGACAACACGTAAACTTACTGCAAGTTTGCGGCAAGCTTGCCGCGCAATATTACCAACCTTGTACGGAAAGCTAGCCGCAAGCTTGCATGGTAAGATTGCCGAAAGATTGCATGGTAAGATTGCCGAAAGATTGCAGCGTAAGGTTACTGCAAGATTGCACAGTAAGATTATCGCAAGATTGCATGGTAAGCTTACCGAAAGATTGCAGTGTAAGGTTACTGCAAGATTACATGATAAGATTATCGCAAGCTTGCACGGTAAGCTTGTGTCAAAGTTGGTGCAAGGTTGCCAATAACCATGCCCAATAAACATAGAAGTTTGCAGTGAAAATGAGCTCTATGGGGACTTGCAATCAAGCGCCAAGCTTGCCGTAAGATTGCTGAGTAAGCTTGCTGCAACCTTCCGTGCTGATTGGCAAGGTTATTTGTTAATCTTGCACCAACCTTGCGACAAGCTTACCGTGCTAGCTTGCTGAGCAATCTTGCGATAATATTATTGTGCAATTTTGCAATAATCTTACACTGCAATCTTTCGGTAAGCTTACAATGCAAGCTTGGATCAGGTGGGACATTTGAAGCTTGCGGCAAGCTTGCCGTGCAAGGTTGGCAATATTGCGCGGCAAGGTTGCTGTAAGCTTACGTGCTATTTGGGTTGTTACACAATATTTTTCAGAAACACTGACAAAAAATTATGAATACTATCAAATAATTGAACCAAATAATTTTTATTTGGATGAAATAAATATTTATCCTTTCTGTATTTAATTAAAGCAAATTTTAAGTGATTTTAATGATTTTTGATCCATAAATTTTGTTATCAAATATGTATATCAAAATAAATCATAGAAATTTTAGTTTCCTGTAGAACATTCCAAATCTATTTCTTAAATGATACAAGAATATTAAAAAAATTATAATGATATAAAAAAAATAATTTTTTTCCACCCTACAATTTAAAATTATTTTTTCAAACTGAAATTATATTTGTATCTTTTGTGAATAGACAAGGAAATTTTTTAGTTATTTTAGTTTTATCATACACTTAAAAAAATAATTTTATTTGTCTCAGAGGCAAATTAATATTTATTTGTTTTAATAATTTTTGTTTCAAATAGATTTTATTTGTTTAAAATAATTTTTGTTTAAAATAATTTTTGTTTTAAATAATTTTTATTTGCTTCAAATAGATTTTATTCTTTCTTAAATAAATAAAAATAAAAGATTTCTTTGGATGTACTTTACTATATTATTAAGGTAAAGTTCACTGTCCGTCTTAAAAAAAAAAAAAAAAAAAATCGTTTCAATTGCCGTACCTAGATGACCTTCAACTTTTATTGAAATGAACAAATGAAATATTTAAGAAACTTTTTAAAATAGATTTCCATTCAATTATAAAAACATTCAAGTTCAAAGTCGAAAAAATATTCTTTACGTCATTTTTACAATTGTTTTTAATTAGTAAATAATTTCAATTAATTTATCGTAAATTAACATTAATTGTTAAATTCATCATTTTCTCATCATAGTTTCGCATCGATAATATTTTAGCTACCAAATAATTTTATTTAAATATAAATTTCACTTAAAAATTTTTATTTATAAAAAATATTATATTCTCAAGAAAAAAATAGTTGGGAGAAAAAATTATTTGGCTTGCTTTCAGGTACGACGATCGAACCAAGAGCATATACTCTGAGACCTACATTAAACACATCGACCGTCGAAGATCTAGTGAATTCGGTAGCAGTCTCTGAGACGAAACCAAATTTAGATTTTAAGTATAATCTCAAAATGAAAAGAAAAAAAATCCCCTCTCCACCCCCCCCCCCCCACCCCTAATCCACTTCCTTCAATCCCTCGTTTACTATCTTTTTCTGATCACATCGAGAAGCGAAAAATCTCTCCCGATAAACTCGTATAATTGCCAAAATAAATAATCGCGATGTTTGCGCATTAGTTTATAATCGTATATTGCCAAAGTTAGCTTTATAAGTGAGCTTTAATAGCCAATGACGCGTTTCACGAAAAAAAAAATTAAAAAAAAAAAAAAAAAAATGATCGAAACAGGGTTGAAGGAGATTTAATGATAATAATAATATTTCAAATATAAATTTGCTAAATCTCCTTCAATATTCCAAAAGCCCTTTACGAATGAAATCTTGCAAACGGCACATAATTACGCGTAATGCTCAAGATTTTTATTTTCTCCGTTTTCAATTATTATTTTTTGAATTTTTATTATTTCTTTCATTTGAAAAAAAAAATATCTTCTTCATGGGAAAAACAAATACTTTAATTTCTACTTCTTACGTTCGATAGAAAAATGTATTTTTTATTCTTTACATTAAATTAACATTAAATTAAATTATAAATTAATGTAAAGAAATTTAATGTAAATTAAATATAAATTAACGGCAATGTTAATTAACATTACAAAAAATAAATTAAAAGTTTTTACAACAAAAAAAATTATGTATAAATTTTAAATAATAAGTATTTGATTTTTCCGTGATGAACTAATGTCATTAGTCTCTAAATCTAAATTAGTAAAAATGTTTACTAATTTGAATTAGTGACTCACTTTTTGCTTCTGAATTAGTAAAATTTTACTAATTATTAGTAACTTTTACTAACAATTAGTAAAATTAATTAGTAAAAATTAGTAAAATTTTACTATCTACTAACTTTTACTAAAAATTAGTAAAATTTAACTAATTCAGAAGCAAAAAGTGAGTCACTAATTCAAATTAGTAAACATTTTTACTAATTCAGATTTAGAGAATAGAGAGTAAAAAAAGCGCCCAATTCATTTAAAAAAAAAAAAAAATCCACAGAAAATTATAAGGTATTAAAATAAGCTGCAACGCTTATTATTTTAATCCAATTTTGCTTATTTTAATACCAAAATGGATGAAAATAAGCAAAATTGGATTAAAATAATAAGCATTGCAGCTTATTTTAATGCCTTTTAATTTTCTGTGTCCTTTTCAATTATTATTTATTTCAATTTTGTTTTAAATTTTTAGCTAATTTTAAGAAATTTTTGCGAAAAAAATTTTTTTGTTCAATGATCAATGATACGTCAAGCGTGTTCAATTGCGCTTGACATCGATTGAGATCGATGGCCTAAGACTATGTTTTCGTGAAAGCACCATCGGAAATGCTTTGTTTGCACTGCTTTCAAAAGAAAAAAAAAGAAAAAAAAAAAAAAAAAAAATGAAAAGAAAATAAACATTTTTTATATCAATCAAAAAAACAAAAATAAATGATTATTAAATTATTTTTTCAATTCAAAGGTGCGAACTAAGATACAATAATATTATACATATACTAATAATAATCGCGTAATATGTCGCACGTGTGATGAAATGCTCAACAGTGATATTATAAAGAGGTTGAGGGAAAAAAAAAATCAAAAAGCGACAAACGATATCAGAATCAAATTCTATCACGTCTATAGTTAATATATAAAAAAAATATATATGTATATATAATTCCATAATGAATTTAATATATATATATATATATGACAGATCTTCGAAGTTTAGGTATTTTCCCTTGAAACTTTTTTTTTTCTTGGTGCTGTGAATGGAAAATACTCGCGCGATATGTGAGAATGTTATAGTTATATGTATATGAAAAAACAATGTAATTTCACGCCAGAATTTTAAATGTGTAAAAAAAAAGAGAGAGTACGAAAAGCGCAAATTTTTTAGGTTCTGTAAATTTTCTATAGTCTGCCTATATATAAACCGAAATGAAAGGAGAGAGTAAAAAAAAAAAGAAGGGAAATAAAAAAAATTGCCCTGGATATTATACACGTATCCCCCTTATCAAAATGCCCGTATAATCGTGATTTACAATTATTGGCTCATTTTTAAATTATCTGATATATATGTAAAACTCATTATTCACTATCCTTTCGTTATAATGGAAATTTTTTTTTTCTTTTTTTTGTCCTGTTATTGATAGATTTTTTCAATTTGGTTTGGAAAAATAAAATAATTTTAACGAAAAAAAAAAATATCGTTACGAAAATATAAAAACGTTATTGAAAAATAAATATATATATAATATTTAGTTAAAAATAAAAATTTTATTAGTGTTTCTAAATTTTATCAAAATTTTGTGAAAATAGTTTCCATTTCAAAAACAGTTGAAAATTCACTTTTTTTTAAAAAAAAGAGACGGAAAAATTCCCACCTATTGTGGAAGTGTTCATAATTTGTAAAAAAATAAAACAAAATTTTACAATATTCAACGAAATTATTAAAAAATATTTTCAATTCGTTAAATATTTTTTAATATTTCTTCTCCCAACGGAAGACGAAATAATGTTCAAATTCGCAATTTCGACTGGAAATTATTATTTAATTACTCTTTTAAATTTACATTTTTTTATAAACTACAAAATTAGACTTTATTTTGTTTCTATGTTTTTAAATCAAAAAAAAATTTTTTACACCTAAAAATTAGTTTAGTTTTTTTATAATTATTTTTTAATTTTATATATTTATATAAATTATAATTATACAAATATGTGTATATAGTATAAATTAAAAAAGAAAATCGTAAATTTAAAGAGGAACAAAGAAAAGGGGGGAGGAGGAAAATAAAAATTTAATTAAGGAAAAAGTAAATTTTCTTCCAAGTTGAGGTGAATTGTAAATCGAAATCGTATTTTGCGCATTGTTTCGTTATTTACTCCATTGGCTTTCGGTATTACATTAGTGAATCTTATTTTCGAGAATGGTGCTGTGAAAAGGGTGCAAGAATTTCTATTTGTTAATGGACATTTATTAACTGAACGCCGGATCTCTTCCCACGACATAGGGCCGAGGGAGTTAATTCCAATTCCGTCGCTGATTGGATTCGAGACGATTATAGAAAGAAGAAGAAAAAGAAAAATAAATAAAAAAGAGTCGGAAAAGAAAAATGGAATAAAATAAATATAGAAATAAAAATAAAAGGCCTCTCCCTCGGTCTTTTCACATTAATTTCCTTTTTTTTTTTGTTAATTTTCCTCCTTTTTTCCAACCATAGAAAATCGTCTAGAAAAAATATAGCGAAATGTGGGTGAATGTTTTTTTGTAAATATTATAAATAAATGAAAAAAAATATATAAATATCGATAATATATTTTTACGTATTTCTTTTGTACATAGATGATAAATAACGAGTACTGACGAGTTTTTTTTTTTTTTTATTTTTCACAAAATTGAAAAACGAATGTAATTCGTTGTGAAAATTTTTTTCACGAGGAGATCCGTCGTCAGACGTTAAAAAAAAAAAAAAAAAAAAAAATTTTTTGTAAATAGACTGTGAATAAATTATCGATCCTGTCTGAATGAGTAGAAATTTAGAAATTAATGCATTGCGTCATAGCCAATTAGCTTTTAAATTAGTCCCTGCGTCTCAACAATCAAATGTGATTTTTATTGGGTTATGAATGAATACATATTTTAGACTAAATATAATGATAAAATTCCAAGTGCGATATCTTGGATTTTCTGGCAATATGTCGGTGTCAATTTTTTTTTTCTCTTTTTTTTTTTTGAAACGAGAGTTACTCTTGAATTTTTCACGCCCTCTTAAAGACTCTAGCTCAGCTGCTTGAGTGTCTCTTTTAAAATTTCATCTCTCGGACGAAACTTACGTCCGACAGCTGAGCGACGATATCGCACACCGACTCTCTTTTTGAATTACCAAAATTTAAAAAAAAATGTCTTATTTTATTTATTTAATATTATATTTAAAAATTATTTTTTTCTAATAAATAATCTGTATAAAAATTAAAATTGCCAGAAAGAAAAAAATAAAATATGTAGATTCATCTTAAATAATCATATAAGACGAAAAAAAAAATTGTATATAAGGACCCCCCCCCTATAAATTCGCGAATATTATATACGCACGTACGAACTAATTAATGATAATTAATATTTAAAAAAAAAATAGTAATTGTAGCCGAGTGGGCTTTCGTAATTAAAACCCAATAAAAAAAAAAATGAAGAAAAATCTGCGAACAGAGTTTAATGTCTCTCTAGTCATGTACGACCAATGCAATGGAAATACTCACAGCATTTGGACAAGAAAAAAAAATCGTTAATTAAATAAAGCGCCGTCGACGATCATCTGCCTACTCTCATTTTTCTCCAATCTTGTCATTAATCCTCTTTTTTATCAAATGAAAAAAAAAAAAAACAAATTTATGTTCATATTTATTACTAAAATAAAAAATTTGTATTAAAAGTTGTAATTAGTTTTAGTATTTATTTCCTCTTGATCTCTTTTGTTTTGCAGTTTTTTGACAACAAAAATTTTATTCAATGTTTATTGATTAATTTAATTAATTTCAATAATTAGATTTTTTTTTTTGGCTAATTTTGTCTCATTTTATCTCAATAATAAATATAATAATTTTTTATGTATTCTGTATTATAATTTATAATTTATAAAAAAAATGTTTTTAAACTTTTAACAAATAATGATGGTAAGTATTTTTTATAATAATTTTTGAATTATTTTTTCAGAAAGCTAATTTTCATAACGCAACTAGTGTTAAATGTTAAAAAAAACTGGAATTAGTTGGAAATTTTTTTTTATATAATCTGGAGATTTTGATAAAATTCAAACTCACCGACAGTTATTTTTTAATATTAAAAGAAATGGACGAATCTGATATATTGTTCGAGTAAAACTAGGTCATTGGGAAGAAAATTCGAATTTTATATCCAGCGATGCAAAGACTTTTTTTTTGCCATATAAAAGATCAAACATTCAGAAAATACAGCTAAATTCATATTTGGAAAATAAAATCAATAATACGGAAAAAGAAATCGATTCTTATTATGCAAAAAAAAAATCACTTGCCAATAATTCTTTACAAAAATTTGAAAAGCAACATTGAAATTAATAACTATGTAATAATCACTCATTACTAATTAAATATTAAAAAAAAAATTAAAATTATTTTTGTAAATTACATTTTTTTTGTAGAAATTAAATAAAATACTAAACAAAATAAATTAAAAAAAAAAATATCAAATAAAACGTAAAATGAAAAAATATGAATATAATATAAAATCAGTGTCTTTTAAATTGAATAAAGCCATTTTTTCTTTTTGCAAATCTTCAAATCGATTTCGTATGTTTGATAGAGGCATGCATCTGACATTTTCAGGTCATAAAGACTAGTGCGGACACGTTAAAGTTTTTTCATTTTCTTTTTTTTTGAATTTTATTCCCTCTCCTAAAAATCCAGATTTTTATTTTCATTCCCTAGCACACGATTGCAATTACACGCTTACATCGAATTTCGGCGAAACGATAGTTGGTTCGCTGATATATTGCACTATAGCTGCGGTTTTTCATTTAATGGAAAAAAAATAAAAACATCCTTTCAAATAAAATTTTTCCGAAATTTTCTTAATTCTTTTCTACATCAGCTAAAATTTAGTAAAGAAAAATTTTAATTTCT